TTTTTTTATGTCGGACCTGGTAGGGTCCGACGTAAAATGTAAAATCTACGTTGGTTGTATCTTGTGTCCGACGTAGATTTTACATTTTACGTCGGATCCTACCAAGTCTGACATAAAAAAGTTCGTAAACATTACAAAAAGTGTCACTGCATCATAAGTCTGCAGTATCAATAGGACTTATCCGTTGCAGTAACAAATTTATGACCACGACAGCTTTTATCTTCAATTCACTCCAAGTTATCTATAAAAAAAACTTGTATATTTACAAATGAACAAAATGGATGTAAATAAGTTTAACTACTAATTGAAATGCAACCAAGGTAATGATTGACTATAAATAGGCATGAAAGCCTCTGTTGTGGGACGTAGAAAAAGACAAAGAAAGAAAACCGTGAGAGAAAGAGAGAACGGAGAGAAAGAATTTTAAGAAGGAAGCAAAAAAAAAAAAATATATATATATATACAGGTCCGACATAAAAAAAGTAGCGAAAGCGAATAAAAAGAGTGCATGGGAGGCACACGCACACACGCACTCACTCGGATCTCATCACTTTTCTAGATTCTTCTCTGTATAAACCCTCTCCCTCATGTCATGTTACCTCATCCATTCATTATTTCTATCCATGCCAATGCACAATTAGATATAGAGCCACATCTTATAACCATTCCACACCCAATCACTTTTTGCACATCAACTCATCCAAATATACACCATCATATTTATTCATACAATAATCATTACTAGACATCATAAAATTCACAACCATCATCAAAATTCATCAATATAATAACATATTTCTGGTTTGTATCAGCTTCACTAGGCCATGCCCGGCTTTAAGACAAAACAAAGGGTACATGATATTTTCACGCCTGACACTAAGAGCAAATAGAAAGCACCTTGTCTCTCTCACGCCCAGCATACTAGTGAGTCATGCCCGACGTTAAGGCAAGGCAGATACTTATCAAATTTGTCATGCCCGACATGATATATCCCACCCTTGGTGTAACCTCATCTGGGTTTTGCATTCATCAATATGAATGCAAGCCCAACGCCCAACGCAATTTCCAGAAACACAACATGAACAAAACATCATCACCAAAATTCATAAGTAGTCATACAATCTTCTTTTTACCAATCCAATCGGTCAGAAACACTTATTTTTTACACCAAAACACATTATATAACTTTAATTCTTGAATTTGCACACCAATTAACAATAATCAAATTACTCAAACTACTCATCCTCTCTTGTAATTCCACATTTGAATGAACTAATTTCCCTCCCCTGTACCTTATTGTGATGATCTGAAGCAATTTAATGTAGTTTTGAGATTATTTGAGCACTTCTCCTTAGAACTCCTTCATTCTCTTCCTTCTTTTTCTCTCAGTTCTTCCAAAAATGCAAAATGAGACAGATTAGCGTAAACTTTGCCTAACTCCTCTCTTAAAATTTTATTGAACCAGGTCAACCTGACTTGTTTCTCTTCTCCTATTAAATTAAATAAATTAATTTTATTCAATAAAACTGCATTATTATTTTATTTAATAAAATAATTCTCCACATTTAATTCTAAAAAATAATTTTGAATATAATATAATAATATTTAATTACAAAATTACTCATTATTTAATAATATTTACTTTTAGAAAATTAGGATGTTACAGCTATAGGTTGTAGCGAGTTAAGGAATGTA